TTTTTTTCCATGGGGTCTTCCTTATCCCCAAAACACATCTGTCTTGAGTTTCTCTCAGATTTGTCAGGTGGATCAGTGCTCCCCAGGGCCTGCTCCATCTGAAGTATTTTAATTTGACTAAACACCTGATTTATTTTATCTCTCCGATGAGAAAGGCAGTTTGTCTTAATAGAGCCTGTCAGCCTACAGTCCCATTCACAGCAATTTACAGGCAGCCAGGGATGCTGGAAAAGAAGAGTGCTGTGATTCTGTATTTTATCCTCCTCCAGAAAGCACCTAAAAGCAGCTATTCACTGCTACTGCATGTGGCATTTTAGAACTGAATTAGCTTTTTATTCAAGTAACTACACTTGTTGTGAATAGCTTATCTGTAAAATTGCTACATTCACTACTGATTTTATTAACCTTTGGCTCTATCACAAAATGGTCTTTAGTTAGGAAAGACCTTTAAAATTGACACATTTTTCTTAGGGGCCTTTATTTCAACGACTTCAGATATTCTGAATTTGATCCATTGACTCCCTTTACCAGCAGTATTTAAAATTTGGAGTGTTGGTGGGAAGTCAATAGTGTTTAAGGACTTTCAAAAAATGAAAATGGAATGATTATTCTCATCAAAAGTTCAGAACAAATAGTTATTTGTGATAGTGCTTAGGATACGTATTCTTGCCTCTGTGCTTATAATCATAAACTGGAAAATAATCTTGATTGATAGTACCAACATTTTTATTTTGTGTTTATTGTTTTACCTTTATCTCTTGATCTGAGCACAAATTGAGGTAAAATGGTCAAACTGAACAGAACCAATGCATCAAAGAGAACTGTTGAGAAAGTCTGGTCACAGGTCAATCTAACCAGGAGTGAGAAAATAAAACATAGCTATAAATCTACTCAGAAAGAGAGAAAAGATCAACTAAAATCTACTTGTGAACCAAGATTACATTTAGGCAGAATTCTGTTTATGGCAAAAACCTATCTTTTAAAACATCACACAATTAAAATACCACCCAATTTCTGGTACACAAGATCACCGTACTTCTTGCAGTAAAATGCATTTTTAAAAAAATTACAAAAATCACATCCTACACTTTTATCTGCCTAGATTTAAGTATTTCCAAAAAAAGATTAAAAATCTAATATCCTGTATCTACAGATACAGAATATAACTATACTTCCTAAAGAAATCTCTGCTTTACCATCTTACAACACTTCCATTATCTCTGTTCCTTCTATTACCTCTTACTGTAGATTCAGTCTATATACAGATGTATCTGCATGTCAACATAAGAGGCTATTCAATGTTAAATTTGGAACTTGCCCTTGTGGCAAGTTGTCATGATATAGAGACAGAGTAATAACTTCTGTAACGGAAAAAATAAGCAGAAATAACAAACAATAGATTTCTTGACCTACACAGTGTAATTTAAACTAATCTCTTTGACACTCAGCAAAAGCAAGCAAGCTAAAACCACATATTCTATCAGGTTAATGGAAGGTAAAATAATAGTGTCACAAATGAACTTTAAAGGCCTGATTTGAAGCTTGCTGATGTGGGATTCTTGGCTGTGACACTGAATTGCTGTGGGTTCCTGAATATGCTTGCCTTAGTTTCCCCATGTGTACACAAAGTAAAATGCTACTGATCACAGGTTTTTATGCCCAGTTAGTTAATGCTCCTGGAGTGCTTGGATGTCTTTGCACGAGTCTCCACACAGCTGCAAAGTACT